GGGCCCTAGCTTAAGCTTGAGGAGTGAAACGTAGAACACTGGATGGATGCGTGACTCACCCAGAAGAGCTAAACGGTAAGCCACCGCCCCTATCTTTTCGATGATGGTGTAAGGACCATAAAACTTAGCTGATAGTTTAAGATTTTGCGCAATGATACTGAATTTTGGCGAAAAGGTTGTAATTTGAGGTAAACTTATCGCCTACGCAGAAATTTTTCTCTTGCCTGTGTTTGTCTGCTTGAACTTTCATCCTCTGTTGTGCTTGAATTAGATTGTCCCTGAGAATTTGAATGGTTCTCTATTTGTCCTGCACCAACTCTTCTTGTACCCCATACTCAGGCTGTAAATAGGAAGTAATTGAGAACATAGGGGGCTGGTACCCATAAAGAGCCTGAAAAGGAGTAGTCTTTAGGCTAGTGTTATAGTTAGTATTGTACCATAACTCAGCTAGGGACAACCATTTATGCCACTGTTTGGGATTTAAATGGACCATGCACCTGAGGTAATTCTCTAGGCATTGGTTCACTCTTTCTGTCTGTCCATCCGTTTGAGGATGGTAAGCAGAGGAAAACTAAAGTTGGACCCCCATCAACTTGAATAACTCCTTCCAGAAAGAACTTGTAAAGATTTTGTCTCTATCAGAGATGATGCTTTCAGGTAGGCCATGAAGTTTATAGATATGATCTAGGAAGGCTTTAGCCACAGTAGGTGCAGTAAATGGGTGAGACATGGCTATGAAATGAGAATATTTAGTAAACCTATCAACCACCACAAATATCACATCCTTCCCATTGGATTTAGGGAGTCCTTCTATGAAATCCATGGAAACATGGGTCCATGCTTGTTTTGGCACTTGCAATGGCTGTAGCAAACCTTGGTAGCTGGTTTTATCTGATTTATTCCTCTGGCAAACATCACACTCCTTAACCCTCTTCTGCACATCCAACTTCATTGAAGGCCAATAGAAGATAGCTTTTAGTCTTTGATGGGTGCCATGTATCCCTGAGTGGCCCCCATAAGTTGAGTCATGCATAGCTGTCATGATAGCTCCCCTCAAATTTAAATTGCTTCCAACCCCAATTCTCCCCTTATACCCGACAATTCCCTTTGAGAGAGAAAACCCAGGGTAAGAGTCAGGTTTCACTGACAAGGCAGCCACTAACTTAGTGAAATAGACATCCCCTTGATAACTTTGAATGACATCTTCCAGCCATTCTGGTACCAATGTGGTAAGAGCTGAGCACTCTTCATTGGTATTCTTGATAAGGCATCAGCAACCTTATTTTCCAGCCCTTTTTTGTACTAGATTTCATAATCCAATCCCAATAATTTGGTAATCCACTTCTGTTGAAGAGGTGTGGTCATTTTCTGGTTCAAGAGATACCTCAAAGCTTGCTGGTCTGTCCTTATAATGGACCTATAGCCCTGTAGGTAATGTCTCTATCTCTGCACTGCCATCAGTACATCTAAGAATTCCCTCTCATAGATTGAGAGCCCTTGGTTACTTGGACTGAGGGTTTTACTCATGTAAGCAATGGGCCTCCCTTGTTGCATTAGGACTGCACCAATTCGAGTGCCACTAGCATCAGTCTCTAGAAGAAATGGCTTGGTGAAATCTGGTAAGGCCAGAACATGGGTAGTAGCCATAGCTTCTTTGAGTTGGGAGAAAGCTTCCTCAGCTTCACAGTTCCAATTGAAGTTGTCCTTCCTAAGCAAATTTGTGAGGGGTCTGTTGATAAGTCCATACCCCTTAACAAACTTTCTGTAATATCCTGTGAGTCCCAAAAAGCCCCTCAATTGTTTGACATTCTTGTGTTTGGGCCATTGCAACATACTAGAAACCTATTGAGGGTCAGTTGACACCCCTTGCTGGGATATGATGTGTCCCAGATATTCCACCTCTTGTTTGCCAAAGTAGCATTTACTTTTCTTAGCATATAACTAATTATGCCTTAGGTCAGTAGCACCTCCTCCAAGTGTTTCAAATGCTCATCCCAAGTTTTACTGTACACCAATATATCATCAAAAAACACCAAAACACTTTTCCTGAGTTTATCTCTGAAAACCTGATTCATAAGTGATTGGAAGGTGGCAGGAGCATTGCACAACCCAAATGGCATCACTAGAAATTCATAGTGTCCATTTTGTGTGCTAAAAGCAGTAAGGAACCTGTGCTCAGGCTTCATCAATATCTGGAAATATCCAGCTCAAATCAATTTTAGAGAAGAATTTAGAACCATGTAACTCATCAAGCAGCTCATCAATGATGGGAATGGGGTAGTCATGCTTGATGGTCATCTCATTTAAGTACCTATAGTCCACACATAGCCTCCATGTAGAGTCCTTTTTCTTAACCAATAAAACAGGAGAAGCAAATGGGCTCTTACTGTTCTGAATGATCCCAGCCTCAAACATTTCTTTCACCAGCCTTTCAATTTCTTCTTTATGTTTGTGTGAGGACCTGTAGGGATATTGGTACTTTGGTATGCTGTTTGGTTTGAGAAGGATCTGGTGCTCAACCCCCTACTAGGAGGTAATTCCTTTGGTTCCTCAAATGTAGATAGTAAGTGTTGCAGCTTAGGGTCATGTGATTGGTCTGGTCCTTCTGTAGCCACCCAAGAGAGTTCTTCAATGTCAGTTGGGTTTTGGTGCACTAATTTGAAGAGTGAAGGCCCTGATATGAATTTGCAATCTGTTATTCCAGTGAGTGCTTGTATCTTAGTTCTTTTCCCCACCCTGTTGACTGTCACAATCATCTTCTCATAGTCAAATTCAATGGTGGTGCAAGACTTAAGCCAGTCCCCCCCAAGAATAAGGTCACAACCTTCACTTTGTACCAGCCTCAGTGAGTAGGTGAAGGTGTTCCCTTGCATTTTCCACTTGTAGTCATCCACTACTTGTGAGCTGACCATCCTCTGGCCATTGGCCACCCTTACCAGCAGTGGCTTTGTGTTATTAAGAGTGCATTCCAGCCTCTGAGCTATTTTTTCTTGAATGAAGCTCAGTGTGCTCCCAGTATCAATGAGGATGTGAAGCTTCTGGTCTCCCACTTCTCCCACAACTCTCATGGTGGTGACTCCATTCTCCCCAGTTATGGAATTCACAGTCATTTGCACCTCCTCTAACTCTTCCAACACAAGTTGTTGCTCACTAGTACCAGTATTAGCCTGCAAGTATGAGAGTTCTTCTTCTTCTGTCATGATCATGTAGTTGATCCGTTGCTTGCACCTGTGCCCATAAGTAAATTTCTCATCACAGTTGTAACATAGGCCTTTCTCCCTTCTAGCAGCCATTTCACTAGCTGTCAAAAGTTTGGTGGGGTTTTTGACAAAACTATTGGGATTTCTCTGTGTGGGAAAGTTGGTTGTGTCAGGTTTCTTAGTGTTTGTATAGAGTGTGAATGTGGGTTTGTGGAATCCTTTGACCTTCTTTGTAATGGCCTCAATGGTCACCTGTTGCTTCCTCCCCAGTTCTATTGCCTGCTGTAAATTGAGTGGATTGAACATGGTGATAAAAGCTTGAACCTCCTCAGGTAGGCCACTAATAAAGCTTGCAATGAAATACTCCTCAGTGTAGTGGACCTGATTTAGCATAATCATGCATGCCTTTAGCTCTTCAAACTTTTCAACATATTCAGAGTAATTCCCTATCTGTTTGAGCTTGTTAAATTCAGCTATAATCTTGGCTTCCTTCAATTCTTCAAACCTAGCTGAAATTATTTCCAAGAATTCCACCCATGGTAATGATTCCCCTTTACACTGAATGTTTGATACCACTGAGAAGCTTTCCCCTCAAAATGCATAGTAGCCAATGTAACTTTTTGGTCATCAGGTATGTTTGGGATTAATTTGAAGTAACTGTTGCATTTGAGTATCCAAGTTCTAGGGTTAGAGCCATCAAACCTTGGGAAATCAATTTTGGGTATGGGATGTGACATTTGAGATTGGATCTGCTCTAGATGATTTCTGCCATGAATAGATTGTTGAGTTCTAAATCCAGAACCTCCTCCAGGTCCTAAAATGGACTCTTCTTCAACAGAACTCTTGTCCTTGCTCATGTTGAGCAGTTGTAGTTGCATCACAGCTATAGTGTTGGTGAGGTGCTCGAGTTTGCTCGTTAAATTGTTGCTCACACCATTTATATGATCTTGTAGTTTGAGTTCTGAGGCCTCGCACTTTAAGGCTTCTGTCTGAATATTTGATTGATTTTTTTTCTGTGCCTCTTGTAGGTCTTTGAGGCGGGTGTCTTCTGCCATGGCCGAGGAACGTGAGCTCTGGATATCACTGTTATGGGCAGACTTAATTTATATGATAATGTATGTAATTGAGCGTAGAAGTAGCAGAAATGGAGGAAATAGAGAAAGAGGTGAGGGAGATGAGTAAGAGAGAGAGAGAGATTAGGATTATGCCAAATTCTGTTTTTCATTTATGCAGAAATCCCTTTTACATAACAACTTAGGGGGACCACAGAATTTCCCCAATAATTCCCAATATACCCTAATTTGATACTCCTTTGGGCTCGACAACTTGAAACGGTCTTCACATGGCCCATTTACCCTTTGCCCAATAACTGGTTTGAGTTGGGATCGTCACTCCCTTTAGTCTGTTCAATCTCGTTGGCAACCACACCCAAAACATTTTCATCCTCTTCTCCGACCAAAGCTTTTTCACCTTTTTCTCCGGCCATAACATAAATTAAAATAATTAAATAAAATACTTGATGGAAATAGAATGCATTAATTACCTTTGACTTTTCTTACTACTAGTTCTAATAAATAGAATGCTTTTTATATAAGTATAGATTTTTATTTAAGTAAATAAATCGATTTTACCGTCAAGAACTCTATCCACAGACCATTGGACCAAATATATGATGGCTGAAATTTTTTATCAGAAAACGAAAACTCAAGAAACAAACGAATACAATATATCTCTAAATAATAATAACCAAAAATAATAAAAAATAATAAAAAAAAATACATTTGCAAAAATCCCTTGTGTTTAGAAGGGGTGTATATTTTTAGTCAATCCGCCATTGACATTAGTGAAAAACCCGATCAATTCGGGGCGGTAGGGCAAATAGGACGACCGCCGCCGCTCCTCGTCCTTGGCCTTACTCCTCAGGTACACCTCGTATGCTGACAACGACGCCGTTTTCCCCTTTTTCGCTTTACCCTTGAGCGCTTTCTTCTCCTCCCCCTTGGCCACCGAAGACGTAGCCGCTGCCGCCTCGTGGCCGCTGTTCAGGAAAACGAAGGCGTCCCTCCCGTCGCTGTTGCTCCTCCCCAGGAAATCCTTGAATCGCCAGATCTTGGAAAAACCGGTCGAATTACTCTTCCGGCAGACATCCGGCAACACCTCCACCGCCTTCCGGTCCGGGGAGGACGGAGACTCGTGGCCGCCGTATTCACTCGTTTCGACGAAGACCTTCTTCACCGGAGGCCTCGTGGGCAAGCTGTCGAGCAGATTCTCGCCGGAGAAGAATAAATCCCGGTTGAAGAGTGGATAAACCGGGCGGATCTGGCCGTCAATGAATATGTCCTCAGCCGCTATCGGCGACGTGTTCGCTCCTCCGCAGACGAAAGAAAATTCCTCCTCCTTCTCTTCTTCTTCTTCTCTTCTCTCATCTTCACCATTATTATCCAAATCGTCTTGTTTGCTAAGCTTCATACGTGTGTAAAATTCTTGACTTATTTCAGCTTCTGAGGATGCCATATAATCGGCGTTTGGTCTATGGATTGCTTCTTTTTATTGCCATATGGCATAGTTAATCTTATGTGGCACTCAAAATATCTAGAAGCCTTTTCTATGTCTAGAAGTACTTCTAGACATTCTCTATTATATTTTTTATTATTATTTAAATATATATCATCCTCAACCAATTATAATGTTACACATGTCAAATTATACTAAAATGGACATTCACCATTGGAGATAAAATTTTGTAGTTCTCTTTCTCCATGTTATACATCTCCAAATGAACTATATACCATTGGAGATGCTCTTACCTTTTCCTCATTACTTGTCTGCATTTCTAATGGTTTTCTTCTCTGTGTTTTTGGTCAGATTTATTGAATAGATGATTTTATTATTATTATTATTATTATTATTATTATTATTATTATTATTATTATTATTATTATTTTATTTTTATTTTTGGTTTGGGAGAAGGATATTGATAAGGAAGGCAATTATCAAGGATAGGTTTGGTTTATATATTTTGCTTTTTTAATTACTGTAGCTTTCCAACTTTCAAGCAGACAAACCGTCAAAGCTAATTATCGATTGGAAAAAAAAAAAACCGTCAAAGCTCCAAACATTTCTTTACTGGACTATATGATTTAAGTTTAGTGAAATACACTAATAGAACATCGTGTATTACACGGGTGTTTGTGAAAAAAATAATCTTAAATTTTAAAATTAATGAGAAAATTATATTAAATTTAGTTTACTTTTTAAAAAAATATATTACTATATATTTTAGAATGATATGTGTCACTTATGACTTACATGCGTTATATTATATTAGTTTTTATAACAAGTCGATTTAAACAACTACAAAGTTATATTATATAGTGTTAACTCATTAGCTCGTAGCTTGGTCGTTATATTATATTAGTATTAACTCGTACTAGATAATTTTATCGAAATTCCTTTTCGACTTTGACCTGCGGCAGGTTGAGGTGCTCGAGCTGATCGAAGAAGACAAACTTCTTTCTTCTTCCCTCACAGGTGACCGAGCAAAACCAGTAGCAAGAGTAGCACTTGGAGCGGGCCCCCATCGTATAGTGGTTTAGGACACCTCTCTTTCAAGGAGGCATCTTTTCCTAATAAAGAAGAAGTAGCTCGTGGAACATCCCCCACTGTCCCTTGAAGGATAGAAGAACGGATTATCTGCAAATGGAGAAAAAAGAATTGAAGATTGTGTGTCGGTCGCCCACCATGACTAAGTCCTCCGGGCTGGGTGGTCCGCCACGATTAAGGCTTACGGGCTGGGTGGTCCGCCATGATTAAAACCCATCGAGCGAAGATGGTCGTATGTGTCGACCACCCTTCCGAGGGTGGGCATGCGTTCGAGGAAAAACCCATCGAGCGAAGATGGTCATATGTGTCGACCACCCCTCCGAGGGTGGACTAGCGTTCGAACCTAGATAATCGATTGTTATAATATTTTGTTGTGCTCGATGTATTTCTATTCAAACCTCGAAAGTGGGTCGAGTATATTCATAACTACTCGAGTAGGTTGATGTTGATTCTTGCTTTATTTTGTCGAAATTGTATTTCGACCTCGGTGGAAGGTCGAGTATATTCATTATTGCTTGAGCAGGTCGATGATACAATTTCGACCTCGGTAGAAGGTCGAGTATATTCATTATTGCTTGAGCAGGTCGATGATTTGAATTTGAACTTGATTTTGTCGAAATTGTATTTCGACCTCGGTGGAAGGTCGAGTATATTCATTATTGCTTGAGCAGGTCGATGATTTGAATTTGAACTTGATTTTGTCGAAATTGTATTTCGACCTCGGTGGAAGGTCTAGTATATTCATTATTGCTTGAGTAGGTCGATGATTTGAATTTGAACTTGATTTTGTCGAAATTGTTTTTCGACCTCGGTGGAAGGTCGAGTATACTCATTATTGCTTGAGCATGTCGATGATTAGAATTTGAGCTTGATTTTGTCGAATTTTTATTTCGACCTCGGTGGAAGGTCGAGTGTATTTATTATTGCTCGAGCAAGTTGACGGTTTTATTTGAGCTCCGTTTTGTCAAATGCGATTTTTCGAGAGGATACAAAACATGCTTGAATTTCAAATTTTGAACTAGGGGGCGATGGGATGAGGTAACCGGAAAGGTTTCTTATTAATTGACAAAGCAGAATGTGTAAGTTTAAATTTAAAATCCAAGAATTCGAGGATTGGTCTTGTGGTATTCGACCTCGTTTTCGGCACTCGACCTCAGAGCCAGGTCTTTTGATTTTCGACATCAGAGGCAGGTCTTTTGAGTTTGATTTCAGATGAAGGTATTTCAGTTGTCGGCCTCAGATGCATGTTTTTCGATTTTCGGCACCAGAGGCATGTATTTTGTTTTTCGACCTCAGATGCAGGTCTTTTGTTTTTCGATCTCAATTTTGGATTAGGATTCTCGACCTGGAGGTGGCGTCGAGTTATTCAGTACCCAATCTCAAATACAGGTATTTCGGCTTTCGACCTTAGAGCTAGGTCTTCTAGTTGGACCTCGGATGTGGGCCCTTGGATGCTCGATCCTAGATGCAGATCTTTCAGTTTTCAATCTCAAACACTGTTCATTCAGTTTTCAGTGCTCGGTCTCAGAGATAAATCTTTTGGCATTCGACCCCAGTTTCGGTTCTCGATCTCGGATGCAGATCTTTTGGGTTTCGACTCCAGAGGCGGGTCATTTGGATCTCAATCTCAATGATCGTCCGACTTTCGATGCCTGACCCGAGTGGCGGGTCACTTACTTTCGACTTCTGCAACCATTCGGTTTTCAGTGTTTGACTCCAGTGGCGAGTTGCTCTATTTTTCACTCTTGGATCGAGTTATGCTCACTCGACCAGAGTGGGGGGACTAGATGATATAGCCATGGCTAGTACTGCCGGCTCGACCGGTAGTATCTGATATTGCATGTCATACCCGACATGTTTTTATGGATATATATTGAAGAATACGCCTATACATGAGCTAAAACACTTGATATGATAATATGGGCCAAGCCCAACTTAGGCCAAGCCCAATTTGGACTATAAGGTACACTCCCCCTATAAAAAGGGGGCTAAGGTACTCATTTCATACATTCTCTCTAAGTATTCTCTCCTCATCTCATTACTACACTCTCTCTCTCTACACTCTCTCCCTACTCTCTCTCTATGCATTCTCATATGAATCGAGTACTGACTTAAGCATCGGAGGCCTAAAGACGAGCACCCCTCCCGGGGTCCTGGACTTTGAGTTCTTGCAGGTACGGTGGCCGTCCGAGTCGAGGGAGCCCGGGTGACATCTTTGTCCCATCATTGACTATAACTAATATAATTGAATTGTGCACATAAAATACCATTTTGTATATTAAGCAAGAATAGAAGATTAACAAAGCATTAAAAGAATAAAAAATTGAAAGAAGTTTATAATTTCACTAATAATACCTACTAATTAATTTTTTCATGAAATTTATAAAGTAGATAAAAAATGAAAAAGCTTTGTGTAAAAGATAAAAAAAAATATGATTTAAGAGAATTTTGTATTGAACATTTTATTTTGTAATTAATATATGTACATAATAAAAATATATATAAAAGTGGACCCTGGGATTGTAGGGGCCCTAGACGGTCGCCTGGCCTGCACTCGGCACTACCCCAAGGCCGTGTCAAATAGTATTTTAATTTAGTTGCAAATTGGGGATCATCGAATTGAATAATAGTTTATACAATTTGCGAATAAGATAAATACTGTAATCCAAGTATTTAAGCATGCTTGGATACAAATTCCACCCAAAAAATCTCATTATTTTTAACCAACTATTTTTTTTAACTCAACTTTAACTCAACTCCACTATCATCAATATTATCAATATAATTAAATAATATCAATCAATCATTTTTACACACAACATCAACTTTAATTCAATATTCATCCACTCACATTATTTTAATTAACCATCACATCACACTTCTCTCTCTTATTTTTACATCAATTTAATTTGGGCAATGCTATATGTACACCCCTTTTTAATAAATTACACAAAGGGCAATGCTATATGTACACCCCTTTTTTACACACAAGGGGGTGTAAAAGGGGGTGTACATATAGACACCCCCTTTAATTTTAATCTTTTTATTTTATATATTATTTTAATATACCCACTAACAATTAATCATAACAACTTTTTTAAATTTAACCAACCCAAATAAAAAATTCAATCAAAAAAAAAAAAAAAAAAAATTATATCCAAACATGTTTATAATTTATAGTTTATATAATGTTGTTCGGCGAATAAGATAAATACTGTTATTAGTTATTTTGGTTAATATTATATAGTCATATTCTCTTACTAAAAAAATGATATTTGAATATAAAGTATCTATAATCATAGGACTGACCACGTACCTAATGTAAAATTATAGATTTTGAAATCTTATGCGTTTGTTTTATTAAATTGTAAAATATGACTTTAGTACAAAAGTAAATATCTATATCTATATCTATATATATACTTATATTAAAAGCTATACTATTTTCTAAATGTAGTATGTAGAATAGTCAACCCTAATTAATGATTTTCTATTTTTATCAAGCATTTAATTAATGAATCTAATATTTATGGTATGCAAATCAAATTAGCATTTAATTAGTTCCTAAAATATTAGGTGTTAACCACCGATTCGGTCCGGGCCGGATCGGATACTCAGCCCCTCCGGATCGAA